GCGGCGGGTGTGTTATCGGCGGGGTGGTGGAAGAGGAGGAGGAGGAGGGGGCTGAGGCCAGCACAGGGGATTAGGGAGAGGCTGGGGGTGTCCCCAGGGCACTCTGATCCCTTCCAAAGGGACCTTTGTTCAGGAGCCTGCTGCTCCCGCCTGGCTCCTGGGGCTGTGAGCTGGCAGCTGCAGGCAGGGATGGGGTTTTCCAGAGCTGCCCTGCTTCCTGGGGCTCGGCATGGGAGCTGGCTCTGGGGTGAGGGGTGGGAGGACCCCTCATCCTATGGGTGTTTTGCCCACAGGTGGCTCCCATCCCTCTCCCTGCTCCTGCCATCCCCCTTGTGTCCAAGGTTTGCCTGGGGTGTTGCTTTGTGCTCTTGAGTGAGGGATGCTGGCCCTAGGCATCCAGATACATCCATCTGTCCCCGGCATCTCCTGCCGTAGGAGATGCTGTGGATCTGTGTTGGAGCTGGCCATGGGGAGAGGCAGGAGGGATGAGAGATGTGGTGGGTGGCTGCAGCGGCTGGAAGAAGCTCTGGGTGCTGTTAAGAAGGTTTTGCACGTGTTTGTGTGCTGGGTTCACACAGGGCTGCATGGCCCCAGCATTTAGTGTGCGATCCTGTCCCGCAACCACCTAACCTCTGTGCCCAAACCAGCCTGCCCGGGTCCCACCGCTCCTCTTCCTCGCCAGGCTCGTCTGATGGGATGCAGCCTCCCGCTGCTGGTAGCACCTGCTCAGTGCCCGGCCTGGGCTCTGGTGGCTCGAGCAGTGCATGGAAACCACCTGTGACACAGAGCTCCTTGGTAGAGCTGATTGGGGGGGGCGGGGCGGTGGGGAATGTTTGGCAAAACTTGCTTTGTTGAAAACGCTTCAGGAAGATGCTGCTCCTGGGGAGCTCTGGGATGTTGACAGGAGTGTTGTGGGCTGCTCCGGTGCCAAGAGCTGCGTGCAGTGCTGCCACCACCATGGCTGTGTCCCTGCTGCGGCATGCTGAGAGCAAGGCCACCCTGGAAAATGGCATGCCTGGGGCTAAACCCTCATCCCCAGCCTGGAGCAGCTCTCTGGGCCGTGGGTGCCTGCAGCAGGGTTGGGGGCATGTAGCCCCGGGGGTGCCGGGGCAGTGGGTGCTGCTGGCTGTGCACCCCGGCCAGGGCTGAGCCAATTGCCTGCTGCACGCCTGAGCCGATTATGGCTCTGATAATAGCCCAGGGGATTAAAGGGCTGTGCTCGCTGTCGCTTTGCGCCCTTCTCCTCTTCATCCAAGAGGGTGCGGGGCTGCTGCCTGCTCGGGGCGAGGGCCCCACAGCCCGAGAGAGCCCCCTGCCGCCATGCCCCTTGAGGGCTCTGTAGTGGTCGTCCCTGCGAGGCAGGCGAGGGGTTCGGCCTGACCCCACCCCGTGCCACAGGGAGACAGAACGGTGTTATCAGGGCTCCTAAGCGTGAGACAGCTGGGGGGGCTCCCCGGGGAAAGGGTGGCCAAGGCTGTGGGGGAACAGTCCCTGAAAGGCAAGGGGGAAGGGTGCGGGGAGGGATTTTGCAGGCAGTCTGGCAGTTCAAGGGGGAGGCAGAGGGCACGGTGGGACCAGCTCTCTTGCCTAGCTGCTAGGAGCAATGCTCAGGGCGCAGGGACACACCTTACCTGGGCTGGGGGGTCCCTGCTGAGGCCACCCTATGCAGGGGTGGTTGGCAGAGCCCACCACCATGTCATCCCCTGTTCCCCCAACAACAGCAAGAGGTGTAGTGCTAAATGTCGGTGTGACCAACCTCCACCGCAGCGTGGCTGCCCTGGCTTTTGTCCTGCAGCCGTTCCCAGCCCCCTGCGGTGCCAGCCAAGGCAGAAGCAGCCCAGCACAGA